TTTGCATTACTCATATACTGCATCTCCCAGACAACTTTTGGCGGGATACGTTTTAATCCGCCCTAAGCGTGCAATCTGATTTGTCACGTGATACGAGCTACCGTGTCGCGCCATTAACCGAAAGAACCCCTGGCCTCCTAACCGTAGTGATTTTTGCGCCGCTGTCACTCCATACGGCCAACCCACACAGACAGACAATCCGCATATATTTGTTTGGACATCGTTTAGTGCTTACATGTCGTTGCTTCTAGAAATCGCTGCTTCATTGATTATCTTCCACTCCTGCTGATTGCGTCATTATTGATTGTACGTTTGCTTACTTCACGATGCGTACCAATCCGTTTGTCTTAAGAACCAGCTCCTGTTAATCCTCAATATATCACTTTCTGCCCACGTTTATCTGACCAAGAGCTGCGCATAATCCAATAGTTGCAATCGTCCTGTGAGATCAATAGCCGCGCGGATCTCACAATGACTTAGGCCAAAAACCCATTAAAACAATACAAGTCAGAGGATTTTGTTCTGTGAACTTCGGCTTCACACAGTTTTTTTGTGCAGCTCACTTCTCGTTCAGTAAAATGGTAGAAGAGAATTTGATGCATCGTATCGTACTGCTTAGAGCATGCACCACTGTGAATGCCCTCCACCTTCTGATATGCACATATAACAAGTAACTAGTTCAGCGTGGAATGAAATAACAGCGTGTTTATTACCAAGTAAAACGCTTATTTACCTAATTGGGAACAATCGCGCTCCCTAGTTAAAACACATCGTCAAGCCCAACTACGATTCCGAAAAATCGGGTCAACCTTCGCCGGGCATCATAATTAGAATTGGATTGCTCGCCTAACTGCAGAGAACGAGTGGCCTCTGAAAACACGTGTTCGCAGTGTAGCCACATAGGTTGATGAAATGTGCACGTGCGCGACGTGTTCACCACCCGATTAACTTTTGGGGGTTGTACCAAAACCTAACTGTTACCAACAACAGGCTTTCCACCTTAAAGCATTCTGTCTGACGGCACATTAGATTTGGTGTGCGATTGCCAATGTTTCTGAGGACTTGCTTGGAAGTATACGTAGTTATCCTGGAATAAAGAACGTAGCTGTAGCCGTCGCTAACTTGTTGTCGGTCACAAGGATAACTGGTGTGCATTCCATACTTGCGCATGGCCCAAGCTCTGTGCCTGGATGGCATGTTTCGGGCTGTCGGCTTGAAGCACGTACTTCCTCAAACGCCCATTTGCGTTCCACGGACGATTACTGGTCGCTTTTTCGAAATATACCAACCCACACTGCGCATGAATGGCCCGCTTTTTAGTGAGTTACACCCGGTGGGCACTCAAATGGGAGGTGAATCTCCATGCAAAATTTGTGAGTCGTAGCGTAACTTACATGAATAACGTCCGGTACACAGTCACTTACCTAGTTTCATTATCGAAGTTGGCCATGCGGTGTAATATACGCCGGTTGCGTATATTCACAACTACGTAATGAAACATACGTGCTTCCGGGTGCCTTGCCGTGCGTGAAACCATCACAGGATTACGTCACGACCAAAGCGGCCCTGGCAGCCTGCATCTGCGTCATCGTCCTATCCATGACGAACGACTGGAGCGGATAGTGCTCACACATTATACCCTTAAACACGCTTGTACAAAGCCGCAAAATGTTTGCTTTCGACAAAGGCGTTTATTACGGGTGGCCCGATGTTCATGCGGTATATCATAGGAAAGTGTGTTACCTGTACCCACACATTGTACGTTCGATGCACGAAAACAATCCACTGAAGACAGTGCGTGCCGCGCATAATATCAAGGTTCACGGCGTCCGGGAAACGACGAAATAATACGATTTATTATCTGCTGGGAAAACATACGTGACTGAAACTACCACCGGAGGATTCTTCCTCCAGCACACGGCTACATTATCGGGGTTTGGATAAAACCGATAACATGTCGTCTGAGAAGCGGAAAAGTAAATATAAACCTACTTAATAACTGGAATCGACTCTTGACGTGATAATCGTAGACATCTTAGATGGTCAGCACCCTCCCGATTTGAACTGCGACATATTGACGGCCCGCAGACGACGGCGTCGCATACCCAAGGAGCGAACTGCTTTCATTTAATCCGTCACTTGCCGGCCACCGGTTGATAGGTAACATGTCAAAAAGAAACTTGCTCAGTGCATGGTTGCGTTCCAGGTGGTGGAAAACAACCATCAAATAGACATCGTACCGGCGAGTACGGACAATGGTAGGGCACCCTGCACAACGTGATACTGACCATAAACATGTAAAGAAATTCTTATTGGTTGCGATGAACTCCGCGACAGGCGATTGGTCTACAGGGACGTCTTCTGTAACGGCAAAGAGCTTTTTAATACAGGAGCAGACTTCTCAGGAATGCGCATCTTTTTTGACAAGCCAAACTAGGGCCAGCTTTAGTGGACGATTTATATAGGATCGTCGTCCAGAAAGTTCACGAAGCTATCGCGGTTTTCGTCCCAAAGAAAAACAGCACACAGTCAGATTAACGGCAGGCTACCTAAAGGGATTCGGCATTTTCCGGAAAAAAGATCTTAATTTTTTAAAAAAGTTGACTACAAGAGGTACAGAAGACGGGCTGAATTTCTGGCTACATGCGGCACCGTTGTAAATCAATGGAGGGTACAAAAACAAGTCACCACCTCGCCCGGAAAAACAGAAATGCGCTTTTCCAACACATGAGACATCGCGACAAAAACAAGCTTATTCGCATTCTTCATAAAAGAGCGGAACGGAGAACCCACGAGTGATCCAACAATGGGATCTGAGGTTTACAGGGACTCTATGAAGGTCTATATTCAGCCCAAGAGTCCTGGTCACACCCATTCTTCTCGAGGCGTAACTAAAAACGGCCTCTAACTAACTTGGTCTTCACGGTGGAGAACATACGTCAACTCTCGTACAAGATCAACTCATTCTGCATTTTGGGGTCGGATGATTTTCATCCAAGAATCCTGAATGAAGCGTTGTCTACACTGGCAAATAATTCCTACCCGGTGGTTCATCAGTCGTTTGACGAAGGCCGCCCTTCCTCTGCTTGGAAAGAAGCAATTATCACGCCAATCTACAAAATTGTTGACCGATTATCGCCTGGAAATTAGAGGCATATAAGCTTCACTAGCGTGCTGTGCAAGGTGATGGAACGCATTCTGAAGCAAGCTATCCTGGATGCTCTTGCGTGGCAAGCATGCTCGTGTATATGGACATCTTAACCCAATCCAAGGACAAAGTACGCATATCGGATGCCATATTTTTCGACTTCTCAAAAGCATTTGACAGGGTCCCACACGTCCCGCTGCTCCACAATTTCGAGTCCCTCGGGATTCAAGGGAAAATTCTTCGCTGGATCAAGGCGTTCCTATCAGCCAGATCATTCCGAGCAAGAATAGGCTCGACCTACTCCTCTCCAGCGCCGGTCTCCATTGGAGTTCCTCAAGGCTCCGTTTTGGGACCACTGCCGTTTCAGATATACGTCAGCAACCTATTAGACATTCTCGCAAGTCCATGTCTACTTTCTGCACTCTGATTAAAATACTGGAGCTCCAAGAGCAGTGCTCTCTAAATGGATGTAGACGTTGCAAGCAGTGGTGGTTGGACTGGCACCTCCCTCTGAATGACGAAAAGTGTGTCCATATGTCATTTAGAGGAGACTCAGCGAATACCTTTATCATCTATGGTGAGAAAAGACTAGAACACATCACGGAGATGGAATAAAAAAGGATTTGCTAATCTGGCTCTCTTCAAACTTGTCCTTCTTACTGCACCATGAGGAATTGGCTCAAAAGGTATTTGCCATTATACGGATGTTTCGGCGTATCTTTCGTCGTATTACTCGCATGGACTTCCAACTACTCTATGGGGCCCACATCTGACCGCCCCATTAACACGCCAACCAAGTTGTCTACTCAGGACGCATGAAAGACGTCACCATCTGTTACGGCTATCTGCTTCTTGAGCTTGAATCACGCGTGCCAATCCGCGAAAACGACCAAGAAATCCGATTCCCGGAATCACAGTACTATTGCAAATATAATAATATACATATTCAACAAACCTGAAGGGATTCTCCTATGGAGAAACCATGGGGTTACAAAATAAGGCCGTAAAATCACAATCCTGAGGATAAAGCTCAGATCACTTCGCGTCAAAACTGATATCGTCACAACCAAACAGATATTGACGGTGAGCAACCGCAAAAACCACAATGCCCGACCAAAGCCCGTAAGTGTTATAAAAATAGTTCAGTAAAACAAGAGGATTTAAGTTCATCTGGTCAAAGGGAATAAATAGGAGGGCTGGATACCATATGTGGTTGGGAACGGAAGCACATTTTTGGTGAGCTCTCTTCTACACCCTAATTGAGCGGCTTCAGGAAGCCGTTATGAAAATGGTTGCTGGCAGTAAAACTGTGGACTACGAAATGCATCTCGCGGTGCTTAACCTCTTTCCCCTAGAGTATCGTAACCTCCGAGGGTGCCCAATTCCTACTCATTCCCCGTGTGAACAAGGCTTGTCCAACCGATTTTTCACCGCTGACCCAACAAACACCATGCGGGGGCATGGTAAGATTTTCAAGCCCAGGGTGCACACGTCCATAAGCGATTTTTCTCATTTCGTGTAGTAGCTGTGTGGAATAACCCTCTTCCTACGGTAGACCACGCTCCTTCCGGAGCCCAGTTCAAAGCACTATTATACACCTATTTATGCGAGTCATCGCGCTGGCAAGTCAACTGTCCCACGCTGATAACTTAATGAGCAGTGCTACACCCATTGTTCACTTGTGCCTTTCGGTGCTTAACGATAAGAACAAAACCGACCCAGGAAACGTTGGCGAAAGCCTCGATCCTGTGCAGCAATCGGTGAATCGCGAACTATTTTTGTCCGAATTTTGAACTGAAGTTTGTTTTTTTACACCCACTCACTCCTCACAGACGCCATAACTTGGTTTCAGTTTTTCGCGCACGATGTTGGAGCGTCGTTCTATCCTCCGTTTGAGCGATACGGCCAGTGAGTTCGCATTATTTGGTGGTCATTTTACCATAACATGTCTTGTGGGCCACCATTTTGAAGTGCTTGGTTGATGTGTTCATCTTATTCTCATCTAGGTCTCGCTGAGCTTGCCCACCGTGAGTATCAAGCCGGGGAATATGAGAGAGCTGAGCAGCATTGTATGCAGCTGTGGAATCAAGACCCGGAGAATACTTCCACTTTGTTACTGCTTAGTTCGATCCACTTCCAGTGTCGTAGGATGGAGAGATCGGCATATTTCAGTCAATTGGCAATCAAACAGAATCCGCTTATGGCGGAAGCGTACTCTAACCTCGGGAATGTCTTCAAAGAACGTGGGCAACTGAAGGAAGCGATTGATAACTACCGGCATGCTCTAAGTATCAAGCCAGATTTCATCGATGGATATATCAATCTGGCGGCCGCTCTAGTTGCTGCCGGCGACATGGAGTCTGCAGTCAACGCATATGCCACCGCCTTGCAGTACAATCCTGTAAGTTCCGTTATGCTCATTGTCTGATTTCCTCAGGATCTATACTGCGTCAGAAGTGACCTCGGAAACTTGCTGAAAGCACTGGGGCGTTTGGACGAAGCGAAAGTAAGCGGTCATCACCGGCCCTGGCGCGCTGCGATTGCCGGTTGCCTGGTCAATCCTGCCATTTTATGTATCGGCCTTTGGCCGCCGCGCTGCTGTTTTCCAGGCAACCGGTTCTGTTATTTGCGCCACCAGGCTATCTAACGGATGAGGATCTTTCTTTCGAACAGCTTGAGTCCTCAGACCGCGGCGGATAATGGGTCATCACTGGCAACGTTTGGATCACTTACCGAGGTTCCCATATTTGGATTTGTGAGTTTTCTCCCCTTGGCGACCATTCGCGCGTACCCCTTTATGCGTCCCTCATTGCACTGCGCTTTTCCGCTTATCGTTACAGCAGATCACTGAAATTATCGGAGTTAGGGTTACCCGTGCGCTTGCATGCCCTACTGCTGTTTTCCTTTGAGACGCATGTCTCGCGCGCCGCTCCTGCTTTCTTTACATTATGTAACTCATCACCTGTTTTTCAGTCTTGCTACCTCAAGGCAATCGAGACCTGTCCAACGTTCGCTGTCGCCTGGAGCAATTGTCCGTCCCGCGCTGGGAACATAAAGCGCAGCGCTACACCTTCGTCTTCACTTGTGTCCTGTAGGTGAACGACGCCACTGAAAGGAACAAAACCACTGTCCCGCGCTGAGAACATAAAGCGCAGCGCTACACCTTCTTCTTCACTTGTGTCCTGTAGGTGAACGACGCCACTGAAAGACGAGAACAAAACCAACCGCGTAAACTTGTGCAGAAGCCTCGATCCTGTGCATCAATCCGTGAATCCTTCCGTTGACCGCGCGGTGCGCTGGAAATCGGTTTCGTTTTTCCCTCGTGCAAATATGTGAAAGCGTTTTTTCGTTGTTCAATCTATTTACAGAGTACACACGAGTAATTGTTGAATTTTATTACTCTAGCAAAACATTCGAAAGATAACGCTTTATATTTTGCGCGCACTTCCTATTTCAAATCTAGTCTGAATCATGACATCAATTTATACCGATTGCGCTCTACAGCCATTGATAGACCACAACAGATGTGGACGAAATGGCTGCCCGTCCAACGTCAAACGCGGTATGTAATGCCAAACATGCAAGGCCTGGTGGCATTTCAAATGCACGGGTTTACAGGACGACCAGACAAGCCGATTAGCTAACTCTGCTGACCCGTTTGTCTGCACAAGCTGCCTCTACGTTTAGCGTGAAATGCATACCGCAACCAAGAGCAGAGCCCTCGAAAACGTATTAAATCCTCATTGCAGAATCAGAAAGATCGATGTGAGTGTTCCACTTTGATCGCGAAATCGGAGCGTTTTTCTAAGGCACTGGAGGACTCAGACAAAGAGTGCAGCGAATTGGACGAAAGTTGACAAGGAACTTCCTTCCGTACCGGGTCCTCTGACTGCGAAGAAAATCATACGACTCTCTGATGCGGCTATAAAGACCGCCACAGCGTCTCCAGTGGACAGGCGCTTAAGGGAGTACAGATTGATAATCTGGGGGTCATTTTGCGGAAAAATCGATCCTTAGCAGTGTCTTCACCAAGCCTGATCAATCGATACACGCAGAATGGTTACGCCAGAATGGAAGCAAGCAAACTCTTGGACTTCTAGTAACTCTTTCATCCCCATCTGCCGTACAGGAAGAAGATCTTGGAGCGGGATGGCAGCATTCAAAAGGCCGAACCAATGATCAGGCTTGTATCTGAGGATCGCCCGTTAGATGCGCGAAAGCTTGGTTACAGCGGATCAGGGGTAGAGGTACGAAACAGGCTTCCACTGGGCACAAATTCAGTCGACCCCAAACTCATGGCCAAGCCGATTGTGGTCATAACCCCTTGTGCTCCAGAAAGCAGGCCGACGAAATCAGCCGCGTCTCCGGACAGCAGTTTTCATTCAACCACCACAGACCTCTCACTCACCAAAGGCAGTGATGATTTGGAGGAGGTAAGCCTCACATGCGAGCAGCGCCCAAAGTACGTAGAGCAATCAACGCTCATCCCCCTTACAGACGATACATGTGCAGCCATCTACTCCTCACCAAAGCCACAGCCTCTGAACTGCACCGAGTCAGATGTGCGGGGACAAGCAGCGAAGCCAATCTTCAGCTCCACTCCGTCAAAAGCGGCCCCTGCTTGTAGAGACAACCGTCGCCCAGAACCCCGACAATCTAAGCCATAAACATGACTACAGCCATCCGTAAAATCCCTTGTACATCCAGTTGGGCACGCTGGTCGCCGGCGGATCGGGTGTCCACACAAGCACGAATGAAAAGCGACTGCAGTCAAGCAAGCCACATAAGGTTCGCCAGACTAGAAGACTTATGGCTGGCTTCAAGGTGCGGTCCTCCGCGAAAACGAGTCTCTTGGGAGCACCA